ATATATATATATATATATATATATAGACTAATGGTCCTGTGCTTAAATGAAGCGCTGGCTTCAATAAAACATAACTAATGGAAAGGAACTCTTCAACAAATATACTCCAGACAGAAGTAAAAAAAGTACACAGAAATGACTCACACCACAGTGCCATTGCAGACATAATTCCCTTATAATTAATACTTGCTAGAAAACGGAGTTTGACATCATGTACAATAACACCAACATTCACCGAGGCTGAATATCACAGGTACGTCTCTTCATACTTCCCAAATAGTTTTATCTTTTAGCTATAAAGGTCAGTTACCAGAGCCAAACTTGTTCTTAACAAGTAGAATTTTTATGTCCATTTAATCAAAGAGTCTCTTACATCTTTCTGGGTCTATTCATCTGCAGATAGCAGTAGAAACTGTAACCAGGTTCTTCATATCATGCATTCACACATGAAGCCCACTCTTCATATGCTGTCCAATTTCTTTAAGATAAAAGGAGCTGAAAGAAAAATAAATTCAGAATTTGTTTTTAGATCCAGATAATCACAAGTTACATATGGAATTACAAGATTGGGAGATAAACCTTATAGTTCAACATATTTTTCAAAACAACTCCAAATGTGGCCAAGCCTCTGCCTGCACACCCAGCCAAAGGGAATCACTGTCTTTCAAGGTAGCCCATCCCGCTGTCATGCAGCTAGAATTATTACAAAGTTCATTTTTCACTGTATAAAATCTTTTCTCCAGGTAGTTCTCGCTCTTAGGACGATAAAGAGGAAATCCAATCCTCCTTCAAATGACAAACCTTTACTTTGTGATTTAACCGTCAAAGGAACAAAACTCTAGAAGAAACAAAATGGCATTTTTCACTTTTAAAAACACATTTGAAAGACAGAGAGTGTGGGAAAACATTGAAGTAGGGATCCAGAAGAGCTGGACACATATTTTGGTTCCCCCACTGATTAGTTATATGACATTTACATGCTCCTGTTCACATCTGATACAGTCCTACGTCAGTTATTATGAGTAGAGTGGTGAAGATATAAATGTCTAGAAAACAAAGAAGTGTTGTCACAGGGATCAAAAGAAGTGATATTACTGCCCTGTGTAACTGCCATGGCCAAAATAAGCACATGAAAAGATGCTCAGCATCATTAATCGTTAGGGAAATGCAAAATAAAACTACAGCAAGATACCACTTCACACCCACTAGGATGGCTACTAACAAAAGAACTGTTTGGCAAGGATGTGGAGAAACTGGAATGCTTGTGCACTGTTGCTGGAAATGTAAAACGGTAAAGCTGCTATGGAGCACAGTATAGTGGTTCCTAAAAAAAAAAAAAAAAAATGGTGGCTGCCAGCAGCTGGAAGGAGTGGGGAATGGGGAATTACTGTTTAATAGCTACAGAGTTTCAGTTTTACAAGATGAAAAGAGTTCTGGAGATGGTGGTGGTAATTATACAATATTATGAATTTAATACCACTAACCCAAACACTTAAAAATAGTTAAATGGTAAATTTTATATGTATTTTATCAAATTTAAAAATATTGGGAAAAAAAAGGTTGTGACCAAAAAAGCTGCCAGATTATTTCTCAATACCCATACTAAATTAATAGAACATTTTGTTACTTTTAAACTGAAGATATTGAAATATGTCAGAAGCTGACCAAGTCAGCAGTATGCCCAGGCTTTTTTTTTTTAAACTAATTCTTATCAGAAAAAGTAACAGTCATCAAAACAATGGATAAACAAAGTGTAGGATATCCATACAATGGAATATCATTCAGCAATAAAAAGGACGGAAATACTGATACATGCTACAGTGTGAACAAACCTTGAAAAATTATCCTAAACACAAACGGTCACATATTGTACAATACCATTTATATAAAATGTCCAGAATAGGGAAATCTATAAAGACAAAAAGTCAATTAGTGGTTGCCAGGGGCTGGGGACAGTGGAAAATGGGGGAATGACAGCTAATGGGCATGGTGTTTCTTTCAGAGGGGAAGAAAATATTCTAAAACAGATTGTGGTGATGGCTGCACAACTCTGACTATACTAAGAATCAATGAATTGTACACTTTAAATGGGTGAATTGAATAACATGCAAATTATATCTCAATTTAAAAAGGGATAAGGAACAGTATTCTGTTAAAAAACATTTTTTTGATTCATCTTAAATACAAAGGTCATTGAGAAAAAGCAAAGATTTTACTGGTAGCTAAATCAACCAAAAAAAGGTAAGAGAAGGAAATAAGTAAAGTTGGGAGTTGTAAAAAGCTGTTGGAGGAGCAAGATGATTTGGGAGTTTCTGTTCACCAGGGCTCCCTCCTCTGGGGAACCATAGTTAACACCACAGGCAGTGAAAGAGGCATAATAAGGGAGACTAGACCTTAAGAGCTCTGGCCTTAGGCCCAACATGAGCCTTCCACGAGGCTCATGAAGACTTGGTACAGTCTTCATCTATCTGTATTATCTCTGCCTCTCCATCCAGACCTGTCAACAATGTACAGCAAGGAACAATGGAAAGAATGCTGAACTGAAAATGAAGCGGCAAATGAAGGGGCAATTCACTTCTGAGATTCCTATCCGTAAAAATAGAGAACTAATCTATAAAACTGCATCCAGCTCTAATATTGTGTGCCTGCAATTCTAATACTTTGCATAAGTCCCCTCTGAAAGTCAAGTTCACATTTGCAAAGAGAGAGACTTAGGCCCTGCCTCTCTCAAAGGGCTATTGTCAAGATCAGGCAATGCAAAGTTTCTACAAAACGTAAAAGTCAACTAAATCCTCAGGTATTATCATTAATCCTATAGACTCATATCCTTTACTCTTCTTAAAAAAAAAAAAAAAGAAGAAGAAAGAAAAAAAGGTAATTATTTACTTCACCCTCTACAAATAAAAGGAACAAAAGCTTTTGGGTTTCAGAGGTAAGCCCTGATGTAAGGAAACTCGGCAGTCAGTTAAGAACTCTGGATTCTAGGCCAAGATCATTCACCGAATCGGTAAGTGACCTTGAGCCAGCCATTTCTCCACTCTAGATGCCAGTTTTTCTGTCTGCAAAACGAGGGACTTGCTCTGGGGGATGACCTTACAGGCTCTTTCAATTCAAACGCTCTTAAGACAGGGCGGGACTGGGTGATTAACCTCGCGGTCCCAGCCGCCGCTTGCACTCCGGTACCCCCACCCAGACCCGCAGAGCCTAAGCAACGCGCGCATGCGCCCGCTGCCCTCGACATGCACGTCCCTTGCACCCCGCGACCGCGTAGCTCCGCCCCAGGGACCCCAAAAGGCCGGTGAGACCAGAGTTGGGCGGGCAGTGTCGGCGAGCTCCCTGCTAGTCTCACGGCCACAGCCTGGAAGGACACTCACTGACTCGCAGCAGGGCCACATAGATGAGGAAGTTCCGTATGGAGGAGATCACATCCTCGCGCATCTTCCGTTTCATCTCCTCCGGGTCCAGCTTAGGCGCAAGGCCCTCGATCCGGAACATCGTGGCTCTTCCTCACGTCTTCCAGCGGCCGCCCTCTGCTCTTGTCAGCTGCCTCCCGGCGCCGGCACTCGGCCTAACCCCATTTCCTGTTCCCGCCCCTCATTTTCACGCGTGATGACGGGAGCCTGCGAAGGACAAACTTCATCCTTAAACTGAGCTGTTCTGAATGAAGGCGGCCTGAAGGGGGTGCACGTAATGTTAGCCACGCAGGAGTCGGGTTCTTCCAGGCTGTTTATTTAACAACCTCTGTCCTGAGAGGCGCGCTCGGAGCTGCAAAGTGCTTTTACGCCTCAGAGGGGGCGGTGCACATAGGTATCACCATAAATAATAATAGTTAACATTTATTGAATACGAAGTACAGTTCTACTCCATGAATTCGATATTATAATCTTCATTTCCTAGATGAGAAATTTGAAGCACAGACATCTTTAAAACAACTTGCCCAAATGTGCTTTAAAATACCTCGAGAAAAAAAAAGTGTTGGGAAAGAGAGATGAAAGGATATTAGCAAAATATTGAAAATTGCTTAAGCTGGTGATTAGTGTATCATTTTAGTTAATTCTAGTCTTCTATTTTCAGTATTTTTGAACTTTTTAATGAATGATAAACGAAAACAAAAGGACGAAGATGATGAAATTTGCTCAAGATTACACATCTAGTAAGTGGCTGAGCAGGGTTTTATACCTAGTTAGACCGGTAGCATCCCAGACACAGAATTTTTAACGTTTTCCGTATTATTGTTGTCTTCTCATTTCTGGGGTTAACTGATCATCACAAATTATAGTATTGGCCCAGTAATACAGTATATGTAAATGAAATTTAGCTCTGTTCAGATTTTACAGATAAGGACAGAGAGGCTTAGAAACCAAGTGTAATGCTTAAAGTCCTTCTGCTAGTGATGGGCAGAGGTAGGGTTCTAATGCAAATAATTATAATGTCAAGTTGAATTCTCTTTCCCCTGAACCCTGTTGTTCACCTGTTAGTCTTTATTAGACATTAGTACCTGCTTGGATGGGCATCCCTGGAGCCAGAAGGTAGGAATTTAATGCAACCAGATTTCCTGTTACAGAGTCATCAAAACAGTTGTTAGAAGGCTGCTGCCCCAAATTATGCATGCCAACTAGCCATGTATAATTCTTAGACATGAACCAGATGACTGAATTGCTCACATAATTCAAAACCAGAATGCTCCTGCATTGCATAGCAACAATGGATTTTAGATAAATTAGAACAGTAATTTACTATGGGAGCAACTGATAACTAAGTATTGCTGCCCACCTTCCTGATTGACAGAATGTAACACATTAGGTCAAGAAAGGGAGCTCATCTGCCTATTCAGGCTTTAGTAACCTCTTGCATCTATAATTCATGCAGTGGAATAGCAGAGGCAGCTCTGGAATGGGAGGGGCTGACTCCCAAGGAATAGCTCCATCTAACCCTTCAAGAGTGTTTAGAAAGCCTGCACTGATGCTGGAAAGCAGTGGAGGCTGTGGAAAGAACTTGAACAAGAAGACTGGAGATCTAGTTTTCAGATCTGGCCCTGCCCTTATCTAGCCATGTGATGAGGCCCAAGTCTCTGTTTAGCTGCAACTTTGTTTCTTTAGTTGTAAAGGGAGGAGATATGATTCAGTTCTCTTGCAGTCCCTTTCAGTTCTAACAGTCTATGCATTTGAATTCTAATTGTGTCATCTAGGACATTCTGGTCTGGAATGTATGGGTGTCAAAATATTATCAAATGTGGTGAAACATCAAAAGGCCAGTGTGTGTGTTTTCCATGGTAAGAAGGATGTAACGTATTGCATCCATCTGAATAGTGAGGCAAAACGGACTGGGAAGGAATGAGTTCTTATGTGATTCCAGTAACTTAGCTCCCCAATGCTGACCGAGCTTAGGTAAACAGTTCTCATATGGAACTACCAATGTTTTTTTCTCTACTAAGATG